TAACACACCTATAATATTCAAATAATAGAACTAAAGAAAAAAGGGGATACAGATGAATGACCGTTTTGTATCTGTGTATTCAAAATTGTTAGGATGGATATATAGTTACATTTTCTTAATGAATAGAGGGATTTGTTCTAATAGTGTTAGTAAATAGGATATCATGTCTGCATCTTGTACAGCAAATAACCACTAGGAAGAATGTATGCAATGTGTTAATTATTGAAACTGGCCTACCAATCTGATTTGAAACTGTCTCATTGCTATTTGTTTCTCAATAAAATTATGGGGAAAAAATGATCTAGTCTCTTCATGAATAGAAAGACCCCTGCGGTAGTGTCACTCATTTAGCTCAGTGCTGCCCCCATCTGGCCCACTAACTGAACATAGCTACATGAAGGATCTCAAGGAAACAATTTATTGTTTAAAGTAGCAACATAAAAAAAAAGTAGCAACATATTGTTTGACTTTATTATGTGGCAACACATAACAGAGAAACTTGCTATACTCATGTGGCCTTGCTTTTTGCATGTCATGTGTAATTTTAAATAATACACAAGATTCTTAATGCTTGACTTATTTACCTTCCAAAATGCATTTTGATCATCACCTACTAAACAATTAAGCAGCAAAGTCATGATCAAGGAATTTATTTAATCAGTCAGTGTAATCACTAACTCGATTCTGTAGGAATTTAATAGAAAATTAAATTATAGTTTAAACTACCTTCTGTCAGTTTTGGACTGTTTTAATGGGCTGAGATGAGACGTGTGGCCTTGCACATGCCTTGGTACCTTGTACATGCTGGGCAAGTATTCTACTACTGAGCTACATTCCTAGCTCAGTTTTGAATTGCTGCTTATGTATGGAAGTTGATAACTGCTGCTCTGATTTTCTTTTTCTATTTCTGTGTGTGTGTGTGTGTGTGTGTGTGTGTGTGTGTGTTGCTCAAGATTGAAGCCAAGACCTTGTGCACGCTAGGCTACATTCCCAGCCCTACTATGTTTTATATGTTCCTTATAAGTTAGGGCTTGTGAAATACTCTTGCAGAGCTAATCACAAACAATTTATAGGTTAGTTTGGCTTGTAATATGTAAGTAATATGAATTAAAAAGCAAAGACTTTTAAGTGTATTTTTGACAAAGCCATATAATATAAAGTACTACAAGTGACTTCAGACTATAAAGAAAAAGTGCTTGTCTATATTAAATGTAGACAATAATAAATGGTAGTCTATAATAAATAGTATTAAGTAGTGTAGTCTATAATAATTGGTATTAAGATTAATAACTTTTTGTTATTTGAAGTTTAAAAATCAAGTTATGATTTGTGTCCAGTTGTATGTGATGCTATTAAAGTATCCCATCCTCAACTGTGTTTTTCTTGTTGATGAAAAAAGCCAACTATGGAAAGGCCAGCGTTACAGGTTCTTTGAATTAATGCCAGTGTTGTCCGAAGGGAAAGTGGCAGCGATTCTTTATTGTACAAATTGAATTACTTCAACTAATCAGGTTTTCATCTTACATGTGTACATATTATTTTTGTGGATTTTCTGAACCTTTTTCATAATACTAGCAGTCACGATATTTGTGATGTGGAAAGTGTGCAGGCTTTGGGATCGTGCAAGTTGGGCATTTTGAAGGAACTACTCACCAGTTGCTGGCCTTTGCACATTGCTTGCCGAAGCCTGTTTCTTCATCAGTAACACAAGGGCACTTGGGTGATGTCCATCTTTCAATTCTATTAATTCAGAGGTTTTGAATCAGGTAGAATATATTATTCTGATGTATCTTCTTGGAGAAAAACATGATTTTAAAATTAGCACACTGTTCCATGTTTGTATGCATTGTTATACTGTTGAGTAAGGATGCATTTAATTCTTGTGTGTCACACAATGGAAAAATTTATAATTTGCAAATGAATTATGACTGCATGGAGTAACAGCAACCAAGATCCTAACATATTTAATACAACTTTTAAAGGTTTGTCTTTTATGTAAAATGTCTTACAGGAAATAAAAACAAGCTGGGTGTGATAGTGCATGCCTCTTATCTTACTTATTGAGGAGACTGAGGCAGGAGTTTGCAACTAGACTGGGTTGCAAATGTCCAGCAATAGTAGTGCCCTCAACAATCATTGCATATCAATATCAAAATTAAATATATAGAGAAATGCACTAAGGATGTTTCTTAAAAACTTACACAAAGTAAAATTACTATCTCCCCATGCAAATCAAAATTAGGTTCTTGGACATTAGAAATAAAAACTGTAGAACTATTTTAATTTTCAATCTTATTCCTTATTTCTTTACAGAACAGTAGCCCTGATTAAACCAGATGCAGTATCAAAGGTTGGAGAAATAATTGAAATAATAAACAAAGCTGGGTTTACTATAACCAAACTGAAAATGATGACACTTTCAAGG